AGCTAACAACATCACCAGCTGCAATTCTCAACAAACTGTGGTGAGATTGAGTTTCATGATTTTTGCTTTACACCCGGCTTTACAACGGCTGGCAGCAGTCGCTTCGTGACTGCCATCGGCGAAGTGAAAAAAGAGATAGTATTATTATACCTCCTCTTTCTAAGAAAACGATGTGCAATGGAATCATTTTTGCGTCGATTCAACTCTCAGCTTCAACTTTACACGTTGTGAATAGTCTCGCGATATCAAGCGTGATATTGAGAGCGTATGAGAGAGGAATAATATCAATTTGCTAATGATTATGCCATCCCTGCTCACCACCATTTTGGAATCCTAAATCGTGGCCAACGGTTTTTGAAAAAAAAAAACTGTCGAATCCTAATATATCGGTATGTTCAGAACCGGGACGACGTTTTGAGGTAGAAAATATTGCTGATTGCATCTAAAAGTAAACTGCTCCAAAAAGGAAAAAAAATGATTAAAGTACATGTTTCGGTCAAATCGTTTTGGTGTCTTTGTAGCATTTATTGCTTGCATGATAAGAAATATGTGCACCGAAAACACCAAGACAATTAGACGAAAACTCCAACTTTTATCAATGCAATATATGTCCGCTGCAAATTTCGAACACAAGATGGCAGCCATCAGTTTTAGCGAAAAATAACTGTCAAATACCCTTATCCGAACGGAGACAACGTGTAGAAGTCGAATATCAATGTCTGCCACCATTTTGGAACCCAAGGTGGAGGCCATCGGTTAAGAACAATTGAAAAATTCCCTGCAATATGAGTATTCCCAGAACGGGACTTTATTATAATGAGAGAGAGAAGGATTAGTAATTTCCATTTAATTCCACTACCTTATTTGCTTATCCTTGACAGATACGCGTATTTTGTTTACAATGTGCAGACTTCTTCTCTCTCTCATTATACAGGTGTTCCACTAAGACGCCCACATTCATCAGGGACTTTATTATTTAGTAAGGATTTTGTTGTTGACCGTCATATTGGGTTCTACACGTCGTCTCCGATCGGAAAATACCCATATTTTGGAATTTTACAGTTTGTTCTGTTCATAAACGGATGGTCACGTTCTTGTTTTGCAAAATGGAGGAGGATATCGAATATAACGAAATATCTATACGTCGTCCTCGTTCCAAAACTACACATATTTTTGGCTACTTGACAGTATTTCCATAGAGGTAACTCTAAGACCAGAAGGTCCCGAAGAAACGAGCTCAACTTTTTGGCTCCGCTCTGGTACTATCTTCGGTCCCAAGCTAATCGGTGGACCTCTCGAAACATAGGAAAATCCACGAACCCCTCATTTTATCTGTCAAACTTTCATAGCGAATCAAAACAAACATAGTGTAGTACTGGAATTTATACTAGAATGGGATACGTTAAACGATTTGCTTGGGACCAATAGGCTAGTCAAGTTGTGAACCAATTTAAAATCGTTAGTTTCGTATTGATTGTTGGTATTTCTAAAACCAACAGCCGCCATATTGAATTCCAAAATGGCGTCCAGCATCGATTTTTCAACCTTTATACGTCGTCCCCGTTCGGAAAAACCCTAGTGTAGGATATTTGACAGTTTTTGTTTTTCTAAAACCCATGGCCGCCATCTTGGGTAGGCATCCAACATCGATTTTCAACCACTACACGTCATCCCCATTCTGAAAACACTCATATTGTTGGATATTTGACAGTATTTATAAAACCGATGACCGCCACCTTTGATTACAAAATGGCGTATTGCATCGATTTTCGATCTCTATACGTCATTCCCTTTCCGGAAATACCCTTATTTAGAGTATTTGACAATATTTTTAAAAACCAATGGCCCATCTTAGATTCCATAATGGCGTCCAACTTCGATGACCTCGATGACTTCGACTTCTACACGTCACCCATGTTTCGAAAATACTCACATTGTATTGCAAGTTCACATGCACAAACTCGAAAACATATTTATTGATTTTTTTTTTGTATTGAAATGCCAATGTCTGTTGAATTTGCCGTATCTTAACAAATTTGATTGGATTTCTGAAATTTTGGTGGCCTATTTACATGGTCTTCAAAAATACATGGTCTTCACAACTTAGCCTCCTTCAGCTCAGTCGGTAAAGACGCAGCTACAAAGTAAGGCCATGCTGGAGGTGGCTGGTTTAGATTCCCGACCGGTCTAGAAACTATTAGGGGTTGGACAAAGTCTCGACTTCCCTGAGCGAGTATGATTGTGCTTGCCACAAAATTAAACTCATGCAAAAATGCTCTCAATTAATAACTGTAGAAGTGCAGAACACTAAGTTTGAGAGTACGCAACAAGCTAATATGCGATAATCAATAAACCTAAAAGGCGAAGAAGTAGTAGTATAAGAAGAAGAAGAAGTGACTTTCAAAACTATGTATAGTTTATGACAGAATTTACTCATAAGATGGCGCTGAAACGACAATGATTCAGTTGCGCCATCTTAAATACATATTATATAACGCTATCTACAGATCTTGCTCAAATGGATGGCTCCCGTCTTCAGCAAACTTGTTCAGATGGACAAGACCTATCTTAAGATACACAGTTTAGTTCAGAATTCGCTAACCAGGCAGCGCTAGTGTGAAATTCATTTTGAATTGTTTGTCCTCAGATGGACTAGATAGAAGGTTTCCGTGTTGAGCATAGTTATTCAGATGGGCAAGACCTATTTTGTGGTAAAAATTTAGCACAGAATTCACTCACCAGGTGGCACTATTGTAACATTGGCACTATTGTCAGATTCAGAATTTGAACAACTTTTGTGAAGACGGAAACCTTCTATCTATTCCATATACTAAGTTAGGACAAACCATTCAAAAGGAATGTCCCACTAGCGCTGCTTTGTTAGTGAATTCTGATCCCTGATTTTTTACCTTAGGATAGGTCTTGTCCATCTGCACAACTTTCCTGAAGATGTAAACCTTCTAGTAGATGCACTTCCACAGTTATTAATTGAGAGCTTTCGATGCCTCGCAAGGAACAATTCAAGCTGAACAGTAAGAACAGGAGCTGATTATTGGTTGATTTAAGGTGTACAAAGCTGATTAACATCAGGCTGAATATATAGGGGAAATGACGGCTTCGGCATGCCAGACTATTTTCGGCAACCCAAATTGAAACACTATTTTCACTGGATTTTCTTACGAAAACACTTCGCTGAATGCATGCAAACGATTCTTATGATTGCTGAGAAAAAGCAATCTAGCAAGGTTTTCTTGAAATGAAACACACGCACTACAAATTGTAGCTGATTTCGAGTTGCCGATAATAGAACAGCAGATTTACATGCAGTTCAAATGGAACGGTTGCCGAAGAAAAACTGGTTGCCGACAATACTCGCTCTCACTAGAGAAGATTGGAGCTTTGTAAAAGCGTTTCAAAACAGTTTTTGACGATTCTTTCGACTGAAATTGTTAGAGCAGCTGGCAGCAAAAGATTGTAAACAAACCAATACTGCATATGTGTGCGTTCCTCAGAGAAAAAGGCTATAGAAAGAAGGTCGCTGCTTAGGTTGCCGAGAATACGTAAATTCCCCTAGTTGATTAGTAGTGAATGAAGCGAATCGTATCTCCACAATCCAACCTCAATAAGTTAGCTGATCTAAAGATTGAACAAGCCTTATTTAAGCTTAACACAACTCCACAAATCAGCAATGCGTTACAAATGTTTTGATAGCTTGATTTGTTAAATGTCGTCAGTGTCTGTGTTACTCGTTGCTTTTCCGGCATTTTAGTTCTTCTACATTCACTGCCTTCCTTTCTAATTACAAGCAGTGGCAGCAGTAGAGACGAGGAAGAGGAGATTTTTAGGAATAGCTTCAGGTAGATGTGGGCAGCCCACGACGACGTCGGAAGTATCAACATTTGTATTCCTATGTTTTGTCTGTTATATTGCACTGAAGTTTCAGACCGCACTGCACTTGAAAATGAGAGGAATGTTCTTCACCAGTTATTGTTTATAATTCTGCATTGCTGAATAATACTCCTCTGGTTGCTGTTATTCCACTTAAAATTGACGTGCTTCAACTTAATGATCATACCTTTTGCCTTGACGCCTGTGAATCAGCGACTGCCGATTCGAATCCCGAGATGCAAAGGTAATTTTTAACTTAATAATGTAAATCCAATTAGTCACCAAAAATTTAAATCAGTTCCATATAAATGCATAAGATATGAAGCGGTCTTCCGTTATTATTTTTGAAATAAAACTAGAAGGCTGAACAAGGGTTGCAAAAGACTGTTATTTAATGCCTCAAAAATCGTATTATGTATATTACTGTTAAGCTTTTGGCTAATTAAAATCACCAGATTTAGATGTTTAAAAGCTGAACAAAGGTTAACGTGGTCTATGTATAGAAATTATTCAATCTAAGACTGAATTAAAATCGATTACACAACACTTGATAAGCATCAAATTATTACCTGGGCTGTACAATTTTTGCATTGGTATAATTATGTGGCAAGTACAACCATACTCTATGCCCAGGGAAGCCGACAAATTTTTCAGCCCGGAAAATTTCTAGACCTGACTGGGAATCGAACCCAGCCACCTCCAGCATGGTCTTGCTTTGTAGCTGCGCCTTTACCGACTGAGCTAAGGGAGGCACCAAGCGCCTAAGCTTTTTCACATTTATATCGCTATGCAGCAACTGAGAAGTGTTGAGGGAATTTATATCAGTAATTGAATCCAGTTCGTTTTTGTTTGCTAATCTGGTTAAAATGTTGTACTTAATTATCTTAAAGATAAATCGTCCAGTTCAAACCTTTGTAGGGGTAAGCGGTGGGACCATTATCATCATCATAACCATCATGTTAAATTTGTTAAAAAGCGTCTTTGAAATAAATACAGAAAATAATTAAGTGGAATTAAATTTTTAAAAATATTCCACAACTCTAAAATCACAACATGTCAGCATTCTTTGTACGCGGTGTACGACGGAATCAGACACAAAGATCAACACTCACCATTTTCAATCCTAGCGTTTGCCTCTCCACTCACAGTCAGCAGAGAATTCAGTTGTCTTTTTTCGCGAATCACTGCTCCTTGAACGCTGACGAATCCGACCACCAGCAACAGTCCGAAGCCCAACAACACTTGCTTGGAATTCATTTTCTTTTTGTTTTGTCCCAAACTTTAGGAGCTCTAATCACAAAATTCTCTCCGCAACACAGCTCAAAACACAAACCGGGAACTGATCCAACCGACGCCGACCACCAAACTTAAACTGACCACATCTCCCCGCTGGAGATGCCTATTTAAGTGCACAAACCCAGCTGTTCCGAACAATTCCCAGCACTTACTAATTAGTCCCAGTATCGTTGCATCCCAAATGACCCTGCATTTACTCCGGAGATGATCGTCCGACGACGACGCCTATCGAGTGCCTAGAATCAGAGCAGTTTCGATCTAATTTCGATGCACTCCACTAGAGCGCTGAATTAATCATCGCCTAAACACTCTCGGGGCTTGGATCGCAAGTGCACGCAATTGTTTGATAATTATAATTGTCTCGAGTTCTAAGCGAGCGTGCGTCACCGAAGTACAAGCCAAACGAGACGGAATGACAGACCGGATGTAATTGTGCTGATCCCGGCGATTCACACGAAACTGTAAGCTGATATACCCTTCCTACCAAAGGCTCGACGAATTGGCGTACATTATTGATCAATTTGGGCGATTTCTGATATCGAAGATCGGCAAGTTTAGTACCGGGAGGAGCTGATGAACGAATGCTAAAATATGACTGGGTAGAACGCAACACGGTTCTGTGACTGAATTATTGCTATGAGCTGGGATGCGATTCGTGGCAATACACTCGCAGGAAGTGCAGATAAGAGCAGACCTCTGATTGATAGAGTCGATGAAATGGGAACGATGTTTCAATGCTGCTGGCCGCTGGAGGTAGTCATCAGGGCGATGTTGTAACACCGCCGTCGTCGGCCCAGACAAGATTAATGAGTGGGCTGGATTTGACGACTGCTGGAACAGGCGCTATATTGTAGAGCACTTAACGATTTATTTGTTTTCATGGGAAACAGATTGCGTTGTGGTTACTGAAGTTTGAGAGTCGACAGCAATGGAATGTCAGATTTTGTTTGTTGAGAATATCTCATACTGTATTCACAATATGCTATGGTGATTATTGTCACGGAAAAATTAACTCATCTGCTCACGTCAAACAACTGCATCAAAAACGAATACTTCATCATTTCTCAATATTGATGGAGTAATACCAACAATCAATACGAAACTAACGATTTTAAACTGGCTCACTACTTGACTAGCCTATTGGTCCCAAGCAAATCGATTAACGTACCCCATTCTAGACAAAATTCTAGTACTGCACAATGTTTGTTTGGATTCGCTATGAAAGTTTGACAGATAAAATTAGTTCAGTGGTACCATAGTGGTACTGTTTACGTGGACTTAGTCGATTTTTTCTTGGGAAGATTTTCTCGATCATTTTTCAGGCTGCAGTGATGTGTACACCACACTTCTGCAATGTCCACGAGCAACATCCTTTCACCATAAAGGTAACTCTAAGACCAGGTCCCGAAGAAACGAGCTCAACTTTTTGGCTCAGCTCTGGTACTATCTTCGGTCCCAAGTTAATCGATTCACCCCTCGAAACATAGGAAAATCCACGAACCCCTCATTTTATCTGTCAAACTTTCATAGCGAATCAAAACAAACATTACTGGAATTTATACTAGAATGGTGTACGTTAGTCGATTTGCTTGGGACCAATAGGCTAGTCAAGTAGTGAGCCAATTTAAAATCGTTAGTTTCTTATTGATTGTTGCTTTCACCACGCAATTTCCTCGATAATTTCCAAGTTAAAATTCAAAAATTTTAAAATGTTTTTTTAAACGACTAAGTGCTTGTAAACAGTACCACCAACAATCAATACGAAACTAACGACTTTATATTGGCTCACTACTTGACTAGCCTATTGGTCCCAAGCAAATCGATTAACGTATCCCATTCTAGTCGAAATTCTAGTACTACACTATGTTTGTTTTGATTCTCTATGAAAGTTTGACAGATGAAATGAGGGGTTCGTGGATTTTCCTATGTTTCGAGGGGTGCATCGATTAGCTTGGGACCGAAGATAGTACCAGAGCTGAGCAAAAAAGTTGAGCACGTTATTTCGGGACCTTCTAGTCTTAGAGTTACCTCTATGGTACCACCATAGAGGTAACTCTAAGACCAGAAGGTCCCGAAGATACGTGCTCAACTTTTTGGCTCAGCTCTGGTACTATCTTCGGTCCCAAGCTAATCGATTCACCCCTCGAAACATAGGAAAATCAACTAACCCCTCATTGTATCTGTCAAACTTTCATAGCGAATCAAAACAAACACTGTATAGTACTAGAATTTGACTAGAAAGGGGTAAGTTAATGGATTTGCTTGGGACCAATAGGCTAGTCAAGTAGTGAGCCAATTTAAAATCGTTAATTTCGTATTGATTGTTGGTACCACTAAACTATCAAAAAGGTTCAGCTGATTAACACTGAGTTCATTCATGACGTCACGCTGCAGTACCCAATATACATGAGCCTTTGATTACTCTGTAAACAATAGAGCTAATAAACTAGAGGAAGAATAGCGCTGCCGTCGCTGTCAAAACATCTTTTCCTTACATCTAATACACTGAACCAATATGACATATTCCTGTTATGTGGAAGTCTTTTAAATTTGCGCTATAAGATAATCCAATGAAAATGATATGATTGAAAATGTGTCAGGTAAATTCTATATGAATATCTGATACATTTACAATGCTGATAATTTGGTAACTTTTATATGATCGTCATATGATAAATGAAAACCGGTCAAATTATAATAATTGATTGAAATGAATTTGAAACCCATAAGCATAAGCTTTACTTTTCACCACAATATAATGTATGTGTCATAAATCAATCGAAGTAAAGTTTATGTGAAAATCACATGAAATTTACTTCTTCTTTTGACACATATATTTAATCGATTTCTAAAAATAAATCGAAAAATAAACATAAGGCAGTGGGAGCTTTCACAGTTGTGTATTTTTTATTGTAGCTGATTTGGGATTCGATCAAGAACTGTTGAGGTGTGATGCTTTCGGTGTCTGCGCTCGATTCCACTGGGCCACGGCTGACTTCAAGATTGAGCTCGTTCAATTAGCATGAAGTAAGAACAGCTCCCCCGACATGGAATGTAGTGCAACGTTATGCTCGTTTTGCTAGAGTGAAGAAAAATAGCACTGCCAAATTTATGCTCCGTTTCGGTGGTGTCGTGTATTCAAATCTTGCTTAATGCTCCTGTGTGCAATAAAACAACGACTACATTATTTGAGTTCATGGAACTCGTTCATGAAGTTCGAGTACTAGTGCTGGAATCTGAATCAGCCGTGTAGAAGGCTTACAATTAGAATCTTAGCAAATAAATATTGCAGTAGAATCATTTGTTTTTCGATCTCAATACATTCTTTTCCCCTTATCTTATGGAACAATAACAAACAAGGATTATTTCATGCAGTATCATTGTTGTTAGCAATATTTAGTTAGACTAATCATATTAATTCAATAATTTATGAAGTACAATCATGTAAGATGTTTTTTATTGGAAGCAATATTCATCCCAGAAAACGCATGCCAAAACAAATTTTTGCTGTTGGATTTCTTAAAAGGCAAATCTATATGACTATATAATGATTGGGATCAATCTTTAAACGTCAAATTCAAAGGAACCTATTACAATGAGATATACATGTTTTCCTATACTGCAAAGTTAAATGACTGTCCAATAGTTTCTACATGTCTGTTCACACGCGACATATCAACAAACGACAAAAATCGTTAAAAGCAACTCCAATAAAATAAACAAAATTATCTTATAAGAAATATCTTTTAGTGAGCTGAGCAATATTCATCATAAAACCAGGTATATTTTACTGAATTTTCTCATAGTGCAAACTTATATGATTTTCCATTAGTTTCTAGATGTCTGTTCCCACCCATTACATATCACCAGTTTTTCACCATGAAATATTTCAGACAATATTCATATACATCTTATCTATCGCTAACCACGCTCAAAGCAAAGTATTATCAAGTACTAAGTATGTGAAATTACGATAGAAATCATTCCATATCGCAGTCATAGTTTTTAAGTGATAATCCAATGGAATCTATCAATCATCACATAGAATGAATAAATCTGCTGACATTGCTATGTTATAAGATGGATCCAATAAACGGTACATGTCAATTTGCTTCAGTGTAGGGAACCAACTGTCAAAGCGAGAAAAAAAACTATGCAGTTTGACAGTTCTGTACCCGGTATTATTCAACATCGGAACCAGGCTTGCTTCCACTCACTTGCTATAAAAAAATGTTTTTCTGAATTTTGAAATCATTAGATATTATAATGATAGTTAGTAGTTGTAAGCAGGGTTGCTTCCACTCACTTGCTATAAAAAAACGATTTTCTGAATTTTGAAATCATTCGATGTTATAATGATATTTTGTACTTGTTAGATACAAGAAGCGGATGAAAAGCAAGTGTTTGACTCATAAAACCTGTCAATTTTGCTACCAGAGTGTTACAATAAGCGATTTTATGATTCGTGAGCGTTCACTCAGAGTGAGCGCTCGCGAGTCGTTAAATCGCTGATTGTGGCTATCTGAAAGTGAATTGGACAGGTTTCATGTGTCAAACATTTGCCTTTCAACCTCTTCTTGTATCTAACAAGTACACAATATGATTATAACATCTAATGATTTCAAAATTCAGAAAATCATGTTTTTATAGCAAGTGAGTGGAAGCAAGCCTGGTTGTAAGTCACAAGATAAGGTTGTAAACTAGGTGTTTGACACATAAAACCTGTCATTATTGCTTTCAGTGCGTCACAATCAGCGATTTTACGATTCATGAGTGCTCACTCTGAGTGAACGCTCACGAGTCATAAATTCGCTGATTATGACGCACTGAAAGCGAAATCGACAGGTTTTATGTGTCAAATACATACCTTCCAACCTCTTCTTGTTTCTGACAAGTACAAACTTTCATAATAGTATCCAATGATTCCATAATTCCGAAAACATTTTTTTATAGTGGAGTGAGTGGAAGTAACCCTGATCGGAACAAAGGGAACACCAGCGCTATTCTTCCTCTATCGTATATTAGCTCTATTCTGTAAACACTGTTTGCGTAAACCCCATACGAACCATTTATTGTCAGTGGTTTGAGCTAGTACACCAACCTGCCAAAGGTATTTAGTCGACATTAGCAATACTCAGAGGGAGAGATAGGCGGAGAAAACAAAATACAATTCGGCAGCAGGGATTTGTTCCTAAATTATCTTGCAACCCTTGCTAGAAGCTAGCATTTCACATGACTTGTATTTTTGATTCGATTTAGGTGCAAAATAATAATTGATTGCATCGCAATATTTTGCACATTTCTTGGT